GGGATCATGACAGAAATGTTAAAAGCAGGGGGGGATATAGTGTTGGAGTGGCTGGTACTTTTGTTTAATAAATGTATGAAAGAGGGGAAGGTACCTAGGGATTGGCGGAGAGCATGTATAGTCCCTTTATATAAAGGGAAAGGGGACAAAAGAGACTGCAAAAATTATAGAGGAATAAGCTTACTGAGTATACCAGGAAAAGTGAACGATAGGGTTATAATTGAAAGAATTAGAGGTAAGACAGAATGTAGGATTGCGGATGAGCAAGGAGGTTTCAGAGTGGGTAGGGGATGTGTAGATCAGGTGTTTACATTGAAGCATATATGTGAACAGTATTTAGATAAAGATAGGGAAGTTTTTATTGCATTTATGGATTTAGAAAAGGCATATGATAGAGTGGATAGAGGAGCAATGTGGCAGATGTTGCAAGTATATGGAATAGGTGGTAAGTTATTAAATGCTGTAAAGAGTTTTTATGAGGATAGTGAGGCTCAGGTTAGGGTGTGTAGAAGAGAGGGAGACTACTTCCCGGTAAAAGTAGGTCTTAGACAGGGATGTGTAATGTCACCATGGTTGTTTAATATATTTATAGATGGGGTTGTAAAGGAAGTAAATGCTAGGGTGTTTGGGAGAGGGGTGGGATTAAATTATGGGGAATCAAATTCAAAATGGGAATTGACACAGTTACTTTTTGCTGATGATACTGTGCTTATGGGAGATTCTAAAGAAAAATTGCAAAGGCTAGTGGATGAGTTTGGGAATGTGTGTAAAGGTAGAAAGTTGAAAGTGAACATAGAAAAGAGTAAGGTGATGAGGGTGTCAAATGATTTAGATAAAGAAAAATTGGATATCAAATTGGGGAGGAGGAGTATGGAAGAAGTGAATGTTTTCAGATACTTGGGAGTTGATGTGTCGGCGGATGGATTTATGAAGGATGAGGTTAATCATAGAATTGATGAGGGAAAAAAGGTGAGTGGTGCGTTGAGGTATATGTGGAGTCAAAAAACGTTATCTATGGAGGCAAAGAAGGGAATGTATGAAAGTATAGTAGTACCAACACTCTTATATGGGTGTGAAGCTTGGGTGGTAAATGCAGCAGCGAGGAGACGGTTGGAGGCAGTGGAGATGTCCTGTTTAAGGGCAATGTGTGGTGTAAATATTATGCAGAAAATTCGGAGTGTGGAAATTAGGAGAAGGTGTGGAGTTAATAAAAGTATTAGTCAGAGGGCAGAAGAGGGGTTGTTGAGGTGGTTTGGTCATTTAGAGAGAATGGATCAAAGTAGAATGACATGGAAAGCATATAAATCTATAGGGGAAGGAAGGCGGGGTAGGGGTCGTCCTCGAAAGGGTTGGAGAGAGGGGGTAAAGGAGGTTTTGTGGGCAAGGGGCTTGGACTTCCAGCAAGCGTGCATGAGCGTGTTAGATAGGAGTGAATGGAGACAAATGGTACTTGGGACCTGACGATCTGTTGGAGTGTGAGCAGGGTAATATTTAGTGAAGGGATTCAGGGAAACCGGTTATTTTCATATAGTCGGACTTGAGTCCTGGAAATGGGAAGTACAATGCCTGCACTTTAAAGGAGGGGTTTGGAATATTGGCAGTTTGGAGGGATATGTTGTGTATCTTTATATGTGTATGCTTCTAGACTGTTGTATTCTGAGCACCTCTGCAAAAACAGTGATAATGTGCGAGTGTGGTGAAAGTGTTGAATGATGATGAAAGTATTTTCTTTTTGGGGATTTTCTTTCTTTTTTGGGTCACCCTGCCTCGGTGGGAGACGGCTGACTTGTTGAAAAAAAAAAAAAAAAAATTTAACTACAATATATTTGTGCACCAAACATTCGCAAATTTTCAACAATCGCAAGGTTCTTGATCCCCTAACCCTCGCAAATGTGGAGGGCCAGCTGTATGTTAGTGTAAACTTGTTATCTGACATTTATATGCATTTACAAGTGGAAAAAATGGCGTTCTGCTTTCCAGCGATGTCTCTGCTTTCCGGCAGTAGCCTGGAACCTAACCTGCTGTATAAGTGAGGCCCTACTGGATTCAGTCAACATGATTTCAGTGCCAACAATATTATCAATCCATTCATGGAAGGGGACACTAAATTTGTGGTCATACAGTGTCCGTCCAGGAGAACGGGAGGAAATTAGGTTTAATTCATGGAAGGGGAAGTCAAGTTTAATCCTTGGATCAAAGGTCCCTCACCAGGGTCAAGAAACATCTCTTGAGAGAAATGCTGACAACAGATATAAACACTCTCCCATTCAATAAAAGCTTGTTTAACCCTTGAACTGTGTCCAGCGTGCTAGTATGCACAATTTTTCATACCCACAGATCTGCCACCTGCCAATATTACTGACCTCAGCACAACTCTTTGGATCTCTTTCCATCTATTTATTCATTTGTAAAAATCTAAGACCAGCAGGATGCAGACAATGTATCATGGTTAACTACTCAGGTGATGACTGTGTCTGACGTACTAATACTCCTCATTAGCAAAAGTAAACAAAGGAACCAGGAGCTGTTGTTACACCACCAGCTTCCCTACCAGCAATCAGGGTGTGCAAATGACTCAAAGATGACTTATTCAGTCCAAATTTATTACAGTTTCATGATACCAACAGTGGAATTCATCCATAAATCACACAAAGCATATTTAACCCAGGATAACCCAGAAAAGTCAAACAAAGAGAATAATTTCCATGTTTTGATGAGTATTATTCTCTAAAATAACTGTAATATTATAAGTTTTCCTTGTACATAGCCTTAGTAAATATGTAGAAAAAAAAATTATATAGAATACAGCCTCTCCTCACTTAACGACGGAGTTCTGTTCCTAAGACCACGTTGGTAAACAAATTCATTACTAAGTGAGGAGCATACCATAATGGTAGTGGGTTTGTGTCAGCCATCTTTGATACTGTTTTACTGTCACCTTTGCACCATTTATAATATTTCTGGTATATTTTAAATGTTTATACAGTAGTGTACTGTATATTGTATTAACCCTTTGACTGTCGTGGCTGTATATATACGTCTTACGAGGTACCGTGTTTGACGTATATATACTCATAAATTCTAGCGGTTTCAAATCAAGCAGGAGAAAGCTGGTAGGCCCACATGTGAGAGAATGGGTCTGTGTGGTCAGTGTGTACCATATAAAAAAAATCCTGGAGCACGCAGTGCATAATGAGAAAAAAAACTCCGACCGTTTTTTTTAATTAAAATGCCAACTTTGTGGTCTATTTTCGTATAGTATTTATGGTTGTATTCTCGTTTTCTTGGTCTCATTTGATAGAATGGAAAACATATTATAGAAATAGAGGTGATTTTGATTGATTTTACTATAAAAAGAACCTAGAAATGGAGCTCAAAGTAGGGGAAATGTTTGATTTTTGCCAATGTTCAAAAGTAAACAAATGAAGCCATTGTCCAATAAATGTCCAACTAGCCATTCTAATATGCAGTCATGAATGGGTTGATGTTATTTATACAATTATTACAGTATTGCAGTAGTCTGCATAATAGTAAGTCTTCTATATTTTGTTTGAATAAAAATTCAAAATAGAAAGCAAGAGTAATATCAGAGGGGTCTGGAGACATGACTGATGAGCAAAGAAAATGTTATTTTAGAGTCAGGAATGTCTGCATTGTTCATTCTGGACCTTATTTTGAAATTGTCATATTTTTTAGATTTCGTGAAATTGGCCAAATTGCAAATTTCTGACCACATTATTAGGTAGTTGAAATCGGTAAATGGGCAGTTTCTTGTACTCAATCGATAGAAAAAATGGAGTTCTAAAGAAATAGCTATGAGTTTGGGCGACTGGAACAATGGAATAAGCCGAAAATAGGGCTAAAAGTGGGCGAAATCGCCGATTTGTAAACAGCGCCGAGGTCGCTAAATTCGCGAGAGCATAATTCCGTCAGTTTTCCATCAAATTTCGTTTTTTTGGTATCATTACAATAGGGAAAAGATTCTCTATCATTTCATAAGAAAAAATAATTTTTTTTTTTTAAATTTTGCGACACCTCAGGATTGGGGGTTGCGACAGTCAAAGGGTTAAACAGAACAGTAGAAATCAGCTCTAATATATATTATCTGGGTATACATACTGGTCAGAGCCCGCCGTAAGTCCGAGTCATCAGTAAACAAATACGTCACTGAGGAGAGGCTGTATATACCGTAAATGTAACCCAGACAAATCAATCACTATGACTTATTTCCAAGTTTTGAAAAGTAATACACTCAGAAACAATTGTAATGTTATAAGTATTCCTTGTACATAGCCTTAGAAGTTCAAACAGTAAAAAGAAAAAAAAAGATAACCAATTATACCATATATTTTTTTTTAACACACTGGCCATCTCCCACTGAAGTTCAGATGTCACTCCAAACAGCAAATATTCCAAACCCCTTATTTAAAGTGTAGGCATTGTACTTCCCACCTCCAGGACTCAATTCTAGCTAACTGGTTTCTCTGAATCCCTTCACAAAATATTATCCTGCTCACATTCCAACAGCTTGTCAGGTCCCAAAAACCATTCACCTCCATTCACTCCTATCTTAGATGCTCACACATACCTGCTGTATGTCCAAGCCCCTTGCACACAAAACTTCTTTTACCCCCTCCCTCCATCCTTTCCTAGGATGACCCCTACCCCTGCCCCTCCTTCCCTCTACTGCAGATTTATAAACCCTCCAAGTAATCCTATTTTGCTCCATTATCTCTATATGACCAAACCACCTCAACAAAATTAAGCTAAACCCAAGGTCTTGAAAATATTAATTGTTCTGCAACTGCCACAATCAACAGTGACTAGCAGAGTAATCAAATTATTTGTCCCTTGCCTATGTGTTTTTAAACAGGAGCAATTTCTTACATCAATGCAACTTTTTTTTTTTTTTTTACATTATGGTGTAGGCAACCTAGCAAATACAAAATTATCAATTATAAGTTCGATAAAAAATCCTAATTTGGACAATGTATACATACTGCACTTAAATTCTGGACATGTATCATTATAGTTGCTTCTGTAGAGTTCTTCATTAATTTTGCAGATAGGCATCTCCACCTGAAAATATTAAAATGAGCCATAATAATGTAATCCTAATAGTACAGTATTTAATAATTAAATAAAATAATAAATATGCTGGAGTTCAACAGAATATTAAAGTAAACAATGATCTAAATAAGACCTCTAACATATGACAATCTCCAAAACACTCACTGACTCCTTGTTTCTTATGGTGACTTCTATTCCTTCAGAGTACTCTAGTCAAATACAAAATCTTTAAGCAAACATTCTTACCACCTTACAGTGTTAAAAATCTCTAAGTAACACTTTAAACATTGACTAAAGAATTACTATGCTGGTATGCATTACACAATGCAATACATATATGTATTGTTGTTATGCTTCATTGGTTATGTATAAGTGAAGCAGGCTTACAGTATATAAAATGTATATTATACTGAACAAGAAATAACATTACACTTACTGGAGGGCACTCCTCAGGTGGTTGAGGAACTGACACACAGATAAATTGTGGACATTCTGGTGACTGAGATGAACTGGAATCTTGAACAGGGATGGCATGGAGATCTGATGGGCACATCACTGGAGGACAAGTCACCACACATGTAAACTAAAGAACAAGATTATACTTACAATATTGAAATTAATGGAAATAATATTGCATATTTCAAAAATAAAAGAGTAAAAAAATTAGTTGCCAAAGTGTTGGATAATGTTAATAGTTTTTTCATGGAAAATGCTTCATAATTTTTTTTTTGTAATTTTTGACATATTTTATGAACCCTATACAGTACATGGAAAACTGCTAAGAAGCATAGAAGTGCAGAAATCAAATAAATTTGCAATTTCGCTTCTAGTTAATTTTCAAAATATGATTTTCCAACTGACTAGTGCTTCTTTTATGTCTTGCAAGGCTTAAATGGTTTCATTTTACCAGTAAGAATTATAGGCAGTTAATAAAAGGAAGTGATTTTAATGTAATCAAGTTGAAGAACTGTGATGGCCTGGAGGCAATTTAAAATATCAGGAGCTCTGCAGATGTCCTTCATCCCAGTTTGCCCCCCCAGGTGGTGGCCTCAGTAGAGTTAAAACTCACTTTGTTCATGAGTAGAGGGAACAACAGATAGTCCTTTTTAAGAAGGCCAGCTTTTGAGGGAGCTAGTTACAGCAAAACAGAGATAAGAACAGAGTGGAAGGAAGTGTTTCAGTGTGTTTGGCTAAGAGCACCTTGGGCAAGGGCTGGCACAATCCATGGACTGAAGATTTAGGAAGTGATCTAGGAGTGCTCTATGCACAACTGCAACAATGCTACATCCCTAGCCAAGTCAAGATGGCATGCCTAGGAGTGGGAACTCAACAGGACCAGACCAAGCTCAACTCTAATTATTCTAGGGAAGCCTTCTTGCAGGGCCCATAAGGTACTGTCACTTCCACTTGGTTTGCTGTCTCATTCCTTTGAATGTCAGCACAGATTAATCCTCACTATAGGAAGATGGACCAGAATTGGAGAGAAAGGAAATGAAAGGTTGGGTACTGCAAACGTTATGACGGAGTTGATGACCTGAAGAAGAGAGAAGTGAGGTTGAAGACCAAGATCAGTAAGAAAGACCATTGACTATAGAGATAAATGGGTAGACAAACAGAAGACTTTGGTATAGATACGTATATAGCAAAGAGCCTCCCAACCATAAAAGAGTGGAACAGATAGATAGGCGAAGGGAGAAAAATTGCTTAAGTGATAGAGGGAAGAGTCCTAAAAAGATCCGTTCCTGAAGATGGAAACAGAGGAGTTGTACACCAACTGATGCTACCCCTTAAAAGAAAAAATAGGGAAGCTTATTATCACCAGTATAGCAAGAATGAGAAAGACAAATGCAGTCTCCTAGGTTAATCTTGAGCAGGACTGGAACTTTAAAAGGAAAGGGAGTTGACACAGTGATTGGAAGAAAGACAGGAAAGAAAGTGGCAGGCCCTAGAAAGGAACAGCAAGTGAAAGAGGCAAGAAGTGGCTGAAACAGTAAATGCCCCACAGAAGAGAGAGCAAAGATGGCTGAGAGGAAGCATGGAAAGGTGATGGAGCTAGATATGGTAAAGTTCTGTGCCACCTGCCTTGATGATAGGGAAAAAATAAATGTAACCTCATGGGCCCAAATGGAAAAAAAAAAAAGAAAGAAAATTCATGTAATGCAATGGGAAAGTAGCAATCTGCAAGACACCCAACTGGTAGAGTGTGGTTGGTGATGCTGAACAGATGACATTCTGCTTCTGATCATGAGAAAGTAAAACCATAGGAGCCCACTTTGTACTGGTGTTGATGGGCATTTTAAAAGGAAAAGACTGACGAATAGGTAAGGGGGATTATGACAGATGTGGCTGTTAGGAAGTCTGATAAATGGTGAGGGCTACTGGCAGACCAATGGAGCAGACTGTAGAGTAGCCTTGTAACTAGGGTATAGTAGTATAGTAACAGAGCAACCTTTCCAGATAAGTTCCAAATTTTCTTTTTTTTACAGAGTTCATTGCTTCAAAAATGTTAAGTCTATCGTCTTTTAATCCTAAGACTTTGGTAAGGTAAGCTTCAAGAAAACCTCTTATTCACTGGCCTACTGGCCAGAAACATATTATAGATCTTTTAAAAAAGTTTAATGTGCATGACACAATGATTCAGCTCCTGTCAACTGTATAAAAATAATATTAATTGTAAATTAATTGTAATATTAATTGTAAATTAATTGTAATATTAATTGTAAATTAATTGTAATATTAATTGTAAAGAAAAAATGGATATCAAATTGGGGAGGAGGAGTATGGAAGAAGTGAATGTTTTCAGATACTTGGGAGTTGACGTGTCGGCGGATGGATTTACGAAGGATGAGGTTAATCGTAGAATTGATGAGGGAAAAAAGGCGAGTGGTGCGTTGAGGTATATGTGGAGTCAAAAAATGTTATCTATGGAGGCAAAGAAGGGAATGTATGAAAGTATAGTAGTACCAACACTCTTATATGGATGTGAAGCTTGGGTGGTAAATGCAGCAGCGAGGAGACGGTTGGAGGCAGTGGAGATGTCCTGTCTAAGGGCAATGTGTGGTGTAAATATTATGCAGAAAATTCGGAGTGTGGAAATTAGGAGAAGGTGTGGAGTTAATAAAAGCATTAGTCAGAGGGCAGAAGAGGGGTTGTTGAGGTGGTTTGGTCATTTAGAGAGAATGGATCAAAGTAGAATGACATGGAAAGCATATAAATCTATAGGGGAAGGAAAGAGGGGTAGGGGTCGTCCTCGAAAGGGTTGGAAAGAGGGGGTAAAGGAGGTTTTGTGGGCGAGGGGCTTGGACTTCCAGCCCGTAATGCTATGCATAGTATAAGTGGCTTTGGCATGCTGCTCTTATCTGTATTTTTTTGTACCTCTATATGTGTGCTCAAATTATAAATAAATAAATAAATAAATAAAAAAGCGTGCATGAGCATGTTAGATAGGAGTGAATGGAGACGAATGATACTTGGGACCTGACGATCTGTTGGAGTGTGAGCAGGGTAATATTTAGTGAAGGGATTCAGGGAAACCGGTTATTTTCATATAGTCGGACTTGAGTCCTGGAAATGGGAAGTACAATGCCTGCACTTTAAAGGAGGGGTTTGGGATATTGGCAGTTTGGAGGGATATGTTGTGTATCTTTATACGTATATGCTTCTAAACTGTTGTATTCTGAGCACCTCTGCAAAAGCAGTGATAATGTGTGAGTGTGGTGAAAGTGTTGAATGATGATGAAAGTATTTTCTTTTTGGGGATTTTCTTTCTTTTTTGGGTCACCCTGCCTCGGTGGGAGACGGCCGACTTGTTGAAAAAAAAAAAAAAAAAAATTGTAATGCAGATAAAGACAACTATGAAAGTTATTTGACACTTGATTTGGCATGGACGGAGAGCATCTCACCACCAAGCCTTGTGAATAAACTTTATAATTACAATAGTAAACTTTATTATTATAATTTATTTGAGATGAAATTTCACACCATTTTATTGTTATATTTTATTCCACCTGAAATTTCATTCAAAAATTCCTTAAAGTGATTTAATTTTTAACTATATAATTGGCAAACACATTTTCTCTGCACATTTCTTTAACATTCCCAGATGTTTGCAAGATTTCCAAAATTAGCTCATAGCCCCAATGTACAGCACATAATGTGAGCTGGTTGGAGTAAATAACTTCAACATATTTTTACCTGAGGACAGGGTTTTAAAAGTTCCTTGGATTGCAGTAACTTGTATCCTTCTGAGCATGTAGGTGGTGGGCAGGGTGGAGGTATTACTGGGACACACTGATATGGATCACAGATGTTTTTGGCTGAGATATATTCATAGTCTTCTTGGATTTCATAACCTTCAGGGCACTCCTGTGATGGGCATTCTTGAGGGATGCACTTATAATCAGGGCACCCATTATCCAACTGTTGAAAAATACATGTATTCAATTAAATATTTTAGTGACACTAATAAGAAGTTAACAGGACTATGTCATTTAATCTTAACTATATACAACTGTTGAAAGAGGAAGAACAGCATTACAAACCTTCTCTGGAAGAAGCTCACTATAATGATTTGGTGGACAGGACAGCATATGACATGGCTCTGGTATTTCACAGACAATCTCAGGACAAACATCTTCACTAGGTATTTCTGTCATCACCCAGTCCTCTGGACAGTATGGTTGTGGGCACCTTCTAGGGTATTCTTGTTGAAAATACATAGTGTTTGGAGTTAAGTTTGTAATAAGAAAGAAATGCTGAATTATTAATTTAAAAACTTTCAGACTTTTGGATCTGGACGGAAGATCTAACCTCTACTATAAACAAAACTTCATTTTTTTCAAAATGTAAAGGTAGAAAGTTGAAAGTGAATATAGATAAGAGTAAGGTGATGAAAGTATCAAGTGATTTAGATAAAGAAAAATTGGATATCCCATTGGAAAGATGGAGTATGGAAGAAGTGAATGTGTTCAGATATTTGGGAGTAGGCTTGTCAGTAGATGGGTTTATGAAGAACGAGGTTAACCATAGAATTGAAAAAGGAAAAAAGGTGAGTGGTGCATTGAGGTATCTATGGAGACAAAAAACGTTATCCATGGAGGCAAAGAGGGGAATATACGAGAGTACAGTAGTACCAACACTCTTTTATGGGTGTGAAGCATGGGATGTAAATGCTGCAGCAAGGAGGAGGCTGGAGGCAGTGGAGATGTTGTGTCTAAGGGCAATGTGTAGTGTAAATATTATGCAGAGAATTTGTAGTATGGAAATTAGAAGGAGGTGGTGTGGAGTTAATAAATGTATTAGTCAAGAGGGCTGATGAGGGGGTTGTTTACATGGTTTGGTCATTTAGAGAGGATGGAGCAAAATAGGATTACTTGGAGGGAGCATAAATCTGTAGTGAAGGGGAGGGGTAGGGGTTGTCCTAGGAAAGGATGGAGGGAAGGGGTAAAAGAGATTTTGTGTGCAAGTGGCCTGGACATGCAGCAGGCATGTATGAGCATGTTAGATGGGAGTGAATGGAGACGAATAGGTTTTAGAACCTGATGAGCTGTTGGAGTCTGAACAGGGTAATAGTTTGTGAAGGGATTCAGGGAAACCAGTTAGCTGGACTTGAGTCATGGAGGTGGGAAGTACAGTGCCGGCACTCCAAAGGAGGGGTTTGGGATAGTGACTGTTTGGAGTGACATCTAAACTGTTGTATCTGAGCACCTCTACAAAGACAGTGATTATATGTGAATGATGGTTAAAGTGTTGAATGATGGTGAAAGTGCTTCCTTTTTTGAGTCACCCTGCCTTGGTGGGAGATGGCCGATGTGTTAAAAAAAATATATGTACAGTAGACCCTCACATTACACAGATTTATTTGGCACGTTTTGGTTATTACACTACTGAAAAATTGCAGCATAATTTTATACAGCACTTTGTAAAATTAACTTAACATGGTTCAGTTTGCGGCAGGGGAAAAAATTTTGGATGTGACCCCGCATGTAAAAGTTGTATTTTTACCTCCAAATACAACACTGGATCGGGGAGTCGTTAAGCCATTCAAGTGTAACTACACAAGAAAAGTGATGAAAAAACTAGTTGCATCAATGGACTCTGACTCCAACTTGGCAGTACCAAGCTTCTGGAATAAATTTAACATTGCAGATACCATCAGCTATGCTAGAGGTGTATGGAATGAAGTGTCCCAATCAACATTAACCCTTTCAGGGTCAGTCCTGAATATGTACGGCTTGATAGCCAGTGTTGGTTCTGTATTTATATGCCAAAATTCTAGCGCCTTCAAATCTGGTGGAAGAAAGCTGGTAGGCCTACATATGAAAGAATGGGTCTGCATGGTCAATGTGCACAGTATAAAAAAAATCCTGCAGCACTCAGTGCATGAGAAAAAAAACCTCCGACCGTGTTTTTGATTTAAAACAGCGACTTTGCGGTGTATTTTCATATGGTATTTATGGTTGCATTCTCGTTTTCTTGGTCTAATTTGATAGAATGGAATATATATTACAGAAATAAAGATGATTTTGATTGGTTTCACAATGAAACGATAAAATCGGGCAACGATGTGTTTTTGAGTAAAAATATTAGCTCGACCAACAATGAAAAACCCGGGTAAGGACATTCGTCCTGAACACATCCGCCTGTCCGTCCAGCCTGAGCGCGCCTCAGCTGCCCTGTTTTCAGCTAGTGTGCTATTGTTTACAAGCTACTGCGGACGGTTCCATGTGTACCTGCGATACATTTTGTATTATTCCAGTGTTTTTAGTGCTTGCAGCTGCTAAATGAGCCACCATGGGCCCCAAGAAAGCTTCTATGGAATTGAAAAAAGAGATAATTGCAAAGTACGAAAGTGAAGTGCGTGCCTCCGAGCTGGCCAGGTTGTATAACAAACCCCAATCAACCATCGCTACTATCTTGGCCAACAGAAAGGCAATCAAGGAAGCTGTTGTTGCAAAAGGTGCAAGTATGTTTTCAAAACAGAGATTGCGAATACTTGAAGATGTGGAGAGACTGTTGTTGGTGTGGATAAATGAAAAAAATTATCAGGAGATAGTGTGTCTCAGTCAATAATATGTGAAAAGGCAAGGCAGTTGCATGACGATTTAATTAAAAAAATGCCTGCAACTAGAGGTGATGTTAGTGAATTTAAGGCCAGCAAAGGTTGGCTTGAGAGATTTAAGAATTGTAGTGGTATACACAGTGCGATAAGGCATGGTGAAGCTGCCAGTTGTGACCAAAAAGTGGCTGAAAAATATGTGCAGGAATTCAAGGAGTACATAGACACTGAAAAATTAAAACCCTAACAAGTGTTTAATTGTGACAAAACAGGCCCGTTTTGGAAGAAAATGCCAAATAGGACCTACATTACATAGGAGGAAAAAGCACTGCCAGGACACAAGCCTATGAAAGACAGGCTAACTCTAATGTTTTGTAGTAATGCTAGTGGGGATTGCAAAGTGAAGCCTCTACTCGTGTATCACTCTGAAACTTCCAAAGTGTTCAAGAAAAACAGTGTCGTCAAGGCTAATTTGTGTGCGATGTGGAGGGCAAACAGTAAGGCATGGGTCACTAGGGACATTTCCTATGATTGGTTCTATCATGTGTTTGGCCCCACTGTGAAAAATTACCTCCTGGAAAATAAATTGGACCTCAAGTGCCTCCTGGTATTAGACAATGCTCCTGCTCATCCTTCAGCCTTGCCACAACAAATTGCGGGGGACTTGAGCTTCATAAAAGTGAAGTTTTTGCCTCCTAATACCACTCCTCTCCTCCAGCCCATAGATCAGCAGGTCATTTCAAATTTCAAAAAACTGTACACCAAAGCAATGTTTCAAAAGTGCTTTGAAGTGACCTCAGACACTGAACTGACCCTAAGAGAGTTTTGGAAAGATCACTTTAGTATCCTCAGTTGCATAAACCTTATAGGTAAGGCTTGGGAGGGAGTGACTAGCAGGACCTTGAACTCTGCTTGGAGGAAATTGTGGCCACAATGTGTACAAGAGAGGGATTTTGAAGGGTTTAGGGCTAACCCTGAGGAGCCTATGCCAGTTGTGGAATCTGCTGTGTCATTGGGGAAGTCCATGGGGTTGGAGGTTAGTGGGGAGGACGTGGAAGAGTTGGTGGAGAACAACGATGAAGAACAAACCACTGATGAGCTGCAAGAACATCTGCAACAGCAAGAGACCACAACTGAGGAAACTGCTTCAGAGGAGGGGAGAGAGAAATGGAGGAAGTTGCTTTCTTCAACGAGTAAGGATATTTTTGCAAAGTGGGTTGAAGTGCAAACCTTTATGGAAGAACATCACCCTGACACAGCTATTGCAAGCCGTGAAGGTGACTTTTACAATGACAATGTTGTGGCCCATTTTAGGAAAATCTTAATGGAGCGCCAGGTACAGAGCTCTATGGAAAGATTTTTGGTGCGACAGAGGTCCAGTGACTATCAAGTTGTTCCCAGTGGCATTAAAAAAAGAAGGGAAGTAACCCCAGAAAAGGACTTGGTACCTAAAGTCCTTATGGAAGGGGATTCCCCTTCCAAACAATAGTACACCACCATCATCCTCCCTCCTCCCATCTCATCACTACATCTTCAATAAAGGTAAGTGTCATTTATTCTTCATGCAGTATTTATTGTGCATGTATAATTGTTTTCTCTGTAGGAAAATGTTATTTCATTTGAAAATATTTTTTTTTTCATACTTTTGGGTGTCTGGAACGGATGTAATTGGATTTCCATTATTTCTTAATGGGAAAATTAAGTCAGCTAACGATAAATTCGGCTAAGGACAAGTTCTCTGGAACGGATTAAAATCGTTGGTCGAGGGTCCACTGTAGCTTGAAATGGAGCTCAAAGTAGCGGAAATGCTCGATTTTTGCTGATATTGAATTCAAGAGTAAACAAATCATGCCAAGCATCCAATACATGTCAACTGGTGAGTCTCATATTCTTTCACACGCGCTGATATTATTTATACCATTTTTACAATACTGCAGTAGTCTGCATAACAATAAATCTTCTATTTTCTGTGAGAATAAAAATTCAAAATGGAAAGCTAGAGTAGTATAAGTGGGGCCTTGAGATGTGACTAATGAACAGAAAATGTTACTTTAGTGCCAGGAATGTCTACGCTGTTTATTCTGGACCCTATTTTGAAATTGGCATCTTTTGAAATTTGGTTGAAATTGACCAAATTGCCAATTTCTGACCACTTTATTGGGTAGTTGAAATCAGTAAATGGGCAGTTTCTTGTACTCAATCGACAGAACAAATGGAGTTATAATGAAACAGCTATGATTTTAGCCGAAACAATGGAATTGGTCAAAAATAGGGATCAAAGTGGGCGAAATCGCTGATATTGCTAACTTCACTAGAGCATAAGTGTATAAATTTTCCATCAAATTTCGTACTTTTGGTGTCATTACCATTGGGAAAAAATACTCTATCACTTCCTAAGAAAAAATCATTTTTTTTTTTAATTTTTCGACCCTGAGAGTGAGTTAAGGATTGGGTGTCTTGACCCTCAATGGGTTACATGCAGGCTGGGGAAAGTTATGGCCTTCTGTAGTTAATTCTTTTACACTGACTTTAGTAGCAGAACCTCAACCATCCACTTCTGCTGACAACCAACAACCATCCACCTCAGCCCATATCATGCATCTCCACTCTCTTCATAATCACTGACATACACCAGCAACCACAAT